GAGATTACAGTTCAAATGGAGTTAAGTTGATGCGCGTCCATGATGTATGAGCTGTATTTTCCCAGTGTATGTAATTTGTTGTTTGTGTATGCTTTATTATCACCTGTGTCGAACCATAATGCCTAGTGGGTATAATCGGCTGTAATTTCTTTATTGTATAGTGTAGGATTATTCTACCTTTCTATGCCTTGATCTCTTTGTTGTATAGTGTATGCTTTTTAGAGGTGATAGTATTGAGTAGGATAATTCTTTGAATATGCTATATCGTTCAAACGGGGGCCAACTCGCCCGACCATGGCCCTTCACGGGTCGTCGGATCCATGGGCCTTCTACGTCTCGCAGGATCCATGGGCCTTCTATGTCTCATAGGATCCATGGGCCTTCTACGTCACGTAGGATCCATGGGCCACCGACTCATTTATGGGTCTTGTATGGGCCTTTAATGGGCTGTAGACGGGCCTATAATGGAAATCATATGTTTTATGGGCTGACCATAACGGGCCGTTAATAGGTCGTATTTGGTGATGCTATGAAAATGTCCCAACAGACTAGCGGACCACAAATGGGCCGACTGTAACGACGGGCTGAATTTGGCCCACAAGCAGAAAATGACAGTAACGGGTCGTAAGTAACCGAATGCTGCAAATGAGCCCAAGAATAAATGGGCCCTCAGAAGGCCAAAAGTTAACTTGGGCTGGAAACGGCCCAACGGAATAACCGCCCGTTAATGGGTATAAAGTATTACACTATTCATTACGGACCAGTTTCACCGCGGGCTGTTAATGGGTGTAAAGTAATACACTGTTCATTACGTGCCAGTTTCAGCATGGGCCGCTAATGGGCCAAGAGTTACAAAGGGCCTCATATGGGCCAAAAGACGTCATGGGCCATACATGGGCCAGAAGTGAAAATGGGCTGGAATCATATTGGATGGCCCAGATGACGCTACTGGGCCTAATTCACATAGGGCGTAACGGCCTTGGGTTAGCGGGCTGTAAATGGGCTATATGCTAACAGGCCATTAATAGGCTTTCCATGGGCCGGCCCGCCAGCTTTTGACCAAGTCAAACGGGCCGGTCTTTTCACAGGAATGGGCCACTGTTGGGCTGTGCCACGTGTCGACGTATCATAGGCGCCTTCTGTCCAGTGAGTGGATGGCATCTGTCCCAATGATGAGCCCACACGTGTTTCCTCCAGCCAATGATGATTTTACACGTGAAAAATCCCCATTGGTCGGGGCTGTTAACGGGTTATCGGATCCAAAACCCGACCCGATAGCTTAACGGCGTTCCGTTATGGTGGATGCCACGTGTTGGTCACCCTTGACGAAAGCACTTCTGTGACGCGTGAGTTATCATCATGGAAGTGGACACTTCCGTGATGATAATTTTGGTAATGTCATGGAACACTTCTACGACAGCACAGGTATGACTATCTTGATTCTGTCATAAAATCGTCATGGATGTACATGCATGACAAAAAACGCGAATTACTGTGACAAACACGTATCATCACGGAAGTGTATTTTTTTGTAGTGAGTAGCTATGTGTTTAATCTCTCTCTCTCTCTCTCTCTCTCTCTCTCTCTCGCATGTTCTTGATTTGGCACGATCTTGATGTATCGTGAGCTTTGTTAACATAGTTGGATCACATGGTGTTTTCCCCTCTCTATCTTGTTGTGATGAATTGAGTTTTCCCTTTGAGATTTTGTTGTTATTGGATTGAATACTTTTATGGATTTGAGAACACTTGATGTATGTCTTGCTCCGAATACCCATGGTGACAATGGGGTATCATATTGATTCACTTGATGTATGTTTTGGCACTCAACTCGCGGATTCCCGATGTGACATTGGGGTAATATATGCATAGGGGTTGATGCACGTTGTTGTCTTTGTTTCTCCGGTAGAAATCTTGGGACACTCTTTGAGGTTCTTTTTATTGGATTAAGTATTATGAATCTGAAATTGTTTGATGCATATCATATAATCAACTTACGGATACTCGTGGTGACATTGGAGTATCTAGGTGACATTAGAGGTTCTTGATGTGTATCATATGGTGTTATTTTAGTACGAACTCTTGGATAGATCGATCGGAAAGGATAACTTGCTATTATTTTAGTACGGACTCTTGGAAAGATTGATCCAAAAGAATAACTTTGAGGTGGTTTCATACCCTACAAACAGTTTCTTCTTATGTTCTCCGCTAGATACGAACTTTGGAGTGATTCCTCATCGCACGTTGAGGGATGGTTATATAATCCAATTATATTAGCATTGTTGAGAGATTGCACTAGTAAAAGTATGAACCCTATGCCTCATTTTCAAGCATTGCAACACCGTTTGTGCTCACTTTTGTTACTTGCTACCTTGTTGTTTTTTTATTTTTTCTATTACAAAAATTAGTATCTACTATCATTACTACACTTGTATCACCATCTCTTCGCCGAACAAGTGCACCTATACAATTTATCTTTGTATTTGGTGTGTTGGGGACACAAGAGACTCTTTGTTATTTGGTTGCAGGGTTGTTTGAGAGAGACCATCTTCATCCTACGCCACCCACAGATTGATAAACCTTAGGTCATCCACTTGAGGGAAATTTGCTACTGTCCTACAACACTCTGCGCTTGGAGTCCCAACACAATTCTACAAGAACAAGTTGTGTAGTAGACATCACGCACCAATTCCTCAAAAGCCCATGTGGCTAGGGAAGGGGAAAATGGGATTCCTCGTAGGAATAGGATTGGACTTGGAGAACAAGTCCTCTTCCCCTTGGCGCCAACTCCTATTAGGAGTAGGGCTGGACTCCCAAGACATTGGCCTTGGCTGCTGGCCCGTCTCTCCCTCCCGGCATAGTTCTTGTCCACTGTTTTTGCTTAGCGAAGCAGAGCCGTTGCTCCACCACCATCATCACCACCACGCTGTCGTGCTGGTTGTGATCCCATCTACTTATCTGCCTTCTTTTGCTGGATCAAGGAGGAAGAGACGTCATCGAGTCGCACGTGTGCTAAACTCGGAGATGCCGTCCGTTCGGCACTAGATCAGTTGGATCGTGATCGGATCGCGAAGAGTACGACTACATCAACCGTGTTATATACGCTTCCGCTTCCGGTCTACGAGGGTATGTAGACACACTCTCCCCTCTCGTTACTATGATTCTCCTAGATAGATCTTGGGTGTTCGTAGGATTTTTTATTTTCATGCTTCATTCCCCATCACGTTCATGGTGGGAATACATCCCACACATCTGCTAGCGCAACTACACCCTGCAGTGGAGTACTAGTGGGGGTAACTACTAAAATACCCATCAGCAAGATGATGTTTGAAACACTGCTTCATGTCCGGAGTGAGAACTCTTAATCTGGCCTTTATTGGTTGGGCTCAACAGCGATGAACTTGTATCGTTACCATGTTGAAGGCATCGCCTTGTTGTTTGATGTACTGGCCTTTAGTTGTTGGTCTCGGTAACTGGGATGAAAATCATTGGCCTGACAATGTCGGATGTGGCGACGACCGAGTGAGGACATGAAATGATCGGTATGGTTGACTAGAGAGGGGGTGAATAGACGACTAATACTTTTTAACTTCTTTTCAAATTTTAGGAAAACAACAAGAATAGGTGTCTAAATATGCAACTAGGTGGACAACATGTATGACAATCTCAAGAACAACAAGTTAGAAAGATTAACACTTAAAGTAAGCTTGCAACAAGTAAGTTAAAAATCCGCAAGGGGAGACGATGTTGTAGTTGCCGAAGTTCCCTCCTTTGGGGGAGGTATGTCTCCGTTGGAGAGGTGTGGTGGAGAGGTGTGGTGGCACGATGCTCCCCAAGTGCCATAGTGGCTTACCTTATTCTTCTTGTACGCTCGCACAATGCAAGGTGCCACGATTCCAGTATGTGGTGCCCTTGGAGGCAGCAACTGAAACCTTCACAAACAAGATTGGGGGAATCTCCACAACTTAATTGGAGGCTTCCAACATCACCACGTAGCTTCACCACAATGGACTGTGGCTCTGAGGTGACCTCTTTCGTCTAGGGTGCCCAAATACCAAAGAGTAATAAGATCCACAAGAGAAAGTAGGGGGTGTAGCGACAAATGATCCGAGTATTCCAAAGTTAGTGTGGTCTCCCTGTCATTGTGAGTGCCTTTGTAGCCTTCGACGTGTTTCTCCATACCAGAAGTCTGATATTTCATACCTGTCATTCAGTGGCGGAGCTTGTAGCAAAAAATTGGGCAGACCACACTGCAAAACAAATGCTTATAGCTGGCTTTTTTTGGGCCCATGAGCTGACTGTTATATACAAGCAAACACTGCAAAGCTGGGCGGGCCACGGCCCATGTAGCCCTGCTGTAGCTCCGCTACTGCTGTCATTACTTGACAACTTCCACCTATGTCTCTTTCCACACCAAAAAGATCTTCATTGCATTGTCAACTTCTACATGTTTTTCAGTACCAGAAGTTTGATATTCATACCTGCCACTACTCCACAACTTTCGCCTATTTCTCTCTCCAACGAGAAACAATTTCATGCCATTGTCGACTTCTACATGTTTCTCCATACAAGTTCGATATTTCATAACTGTCATTACTCCACAACGTCCACCTATTTCTCCACACCAAACAGATCTTCAGACACGAGCTGCATATTTCTAGCTTGCCGGATCCACATGTAAAATGTTTTTCTTTGCCTCTTTTGAGCAAGCTATATCCAGTACAAATATATTTTTACACGAGACCACGCACGCTCTTTACAAATCTGATGTCATGTTCCCCACATCCACACGTACTGGAGCAGTAGCGCAAGTGCAGGGCGAAAAAGGTTGCAGAAAAGAGTCACATTCACAGCTCTAATTATTCTCCTTTCCATTTCTTGAGAAGAAAAACTTCACTGCGGTAGTACTGCAGCGTGGGCCACCAGCAGAAAGGAGCAGCTCAACTACCCACACCGACCTGGACCCACCCGCCAGGGGACATGACGCCTCTTCTACTGCTACTACGGCAAGAATCCCCCACGGCCGCCGCCGCGGCTGCCGCCGGCCGACGACGACGAGGCGATGACCGCCTCCAGGATGGTCTCCTCGCACTTGCGGCACCGCTTGGGCGGCGCGGGGTCGTCGAGGACGATGGGGCGGCGGCAGGACGGGCAGGAGGAGTTGGAGCGCAGCCAGGTGTCGACGCAGTCGACGTGGAACCCGTGGCCGCACTGCGGCATCACGCGCACCTCCTCCCGCTCGCCGAACTCCGTCAGGCAGATGGCGCACTCGGCGAGGATCCCGTCCTGCCCCTCCTCCTCCTCGCCCCCCGCCACGGCGCCCCTCGCCGCCGCAGCCGCGGCCACCGCGTCCGCGTACGCCAGCTTCGGCAGCGCCTTGAGCGCCTTCTTCTTGAGCCCCTTGCTGGTGGTCGTCACGCTGCCCCCCGACGCGCCTGTCGTCGTAGTAGTTGTAGTACCATGGTTATGCCCACCGCCGCCCCCGCCGAAGGCCGCCAGGGCGTGGGCCGGGCTGCCGGACGGCGAGGATTGGTTGGCGTGGGCGTTGGCGTTGCGGCGGGAGCGCGCGCACCGCGCGACGGCGGCGAGGCCGACTACGCAGATGAGCGCGCAGAGCAGGGCGGCGAGGATGACGACGACATCCGAGCTGACGCCGGCGGGCGGATCGGCCGGGGGGATGCCCGGGATGCGGCTGGGGTCGCCGCTCTGGAGGAGACGCCTCGACGAATACGGCGATGGCCGGAGCATCGCCCACGTTCGTCCAGCGCCGGTAGTTGGAGGGGCCTTTTCCGCAAAATTAAAGTTGTGGCGAGACGCGAGAGAAGCGAAAGGGGGTGGTGGTATTGGCAGGTTGCGATTGTTAATGGCGGGCGGGTAAGCGTCGTAGCGAAGCTCCCGTGGCGATTTCCCGCGGGTTGGGCGCGGGGCGGGGCCGGTATCGTCGACCAGCTGGAAAATCCCAAAAGGCACACGTGGACGCGCCAAGATAATTAGAGATTAAGATTTTGCATTTTATTTATGGGAGATATTAAAGATTTGTTTTGGGTGCAGATTCAGAAACATTTCCTCCGGAGCTTTATAAAAGAAAAGAAAACGCCTTCGCTGTGGATGGAGTAGGGTAGATGGAGAGTTAATTGTACAGAACTATCACAATTGGGGCATTGAAAGAAGATTGATATCAAGTTTGGTAATTTTTACGGGTCAGTATCAAGTCTAGGGCTAGCCGTTATAAAAAGGTCTAAATCGCGTATAAACATGTATTGACG